CAAGCTCATCTTTGATGATACCAGCCCAAACCAGTACTCCACCTCTACCTTGCTGGCGTCTGAGTCGGACTGGAGCTCTCTGCCCTTTACCAATCCAGCCACGGGCCCATCCATCTGGCCCATCAAGACTCACTCTCATTTCATCAGTCCATAAAACCTTAGAAAAATCAGTCTTGACATATTTCTTGGCCCAGTCTTGACGTTTCAGCTTGTGTGTCTTGTTCAGTGGTGGTCGTCTTTCAGCCTTTCTTACCTTGGCCATGTCTCTGAGTATTGCACACCTTGTGCTTTTGGGCACTCCAGTGATGTTGCAGCTCTGAAATATGGCCAAACTGGTGGCAAGTGGCATCGTGGCAGCTGCACGCTTGACTTTTCTCAGTTCATGGGCAGTTATTTTGCGCCTTGGTTTTTCCACACGCTTCTTGCGACCCTGTTGACTATTTTGAATGAAACGCTTGATTGTTCGATGATCACGCTTCAGAAGCTTTGCAATTTTAAGAGTGCTGCATCCCTCTGCAAGATATCTCACTATTTTTGACTTTTCTGAGCCTGTCAAGTCCTTCTTTTGACCCATTTTGCCAAAGGAAAGGAAGTTGCCTAATAATTATGCACACCTGATATAGGGTGTTGATGTCATTAGACCACACCCCTTCTCATTACAGAGATGCACATCACCTAATATGCTTAATTGGTAGTAGGCTTTCGAGCCTATACAGCTTGGAGTAAGACAACATGCATAAAGAGGATGATGTGGTCAAAATACTCATTTGCCTAATAATTCTGCACTCCCTGTATAGAATGAATATATATATAATAACTATATATATTGTGTATTTATATATATATATATATTATAAAATACAAATACGTAAATTAAAATAAATTTTAAAAAGTAAAAATAATAAACATTTTACAAAAAATGATATATATGAAATTTTATTCTAACTGTATTTTGATATTAATATATATTTATATCAAAATACACTTAGATGTATATATAATTTCATTCTATGTATATATAAATAAATAAAAATAATACGAAATATATATATATCCATATACAAAATTACATAGTTTCATAAATATACACGTAATCTTCAAATATATAAATATGTATATATATATTTAAATTCTATGTGCATATTTATGTAATATTTTACATAATTAAGTAATTTTATTGATAGCAATTTGAGAGACCTACCTGACAACCCAGGCCGAACGTCCAGAGAATTTAATTTGCTAGCACTGTATTTAACCCTGTAATTTTCCATGACAACCGAAAACCTGTACATAGTGGGTACAGTTTTACTCTACATTAGTGTTTCAAAACAGTAAAACAATCACAGCAATGATATTGTCAGTGAAAGTCACGTTTTTTGCATTTTTCACACACAAACGGCACTTTCACTGATGATATTGTTGTGAAACGTTTTACTGTTTTGAAACACTAATATCTGTGTTCAGCAAAGTCTCCCAAGTATAACAATAACCCCCATGTACAGGTTTTATAGAGTTTTTGAAAGTTACAGGGTCAAATATTTTTACATTGAAAATTTCCAGGTTGGTTATGCTGCCTTTGAGAGCATATGGTAGTCCAGGAATGAAACTTACCCCCATGATGGTACCATTTGCAAAAGAAGACAACCCAAGGTATTGCAAATGTTCAGTCTTTTTTAGTAGCCACTTAGTCAAAAACACTGGCCAAAGTTAGCGTTCATAGTTGTTTCTTACATTTTTAACACACAAACAAATATAAATGTTAACTTTGGCCAGTGTTTGTGACTGACTAGCTACTAAAAAAGACTGGACATACCCCATATTGAATACCCTGGGTTGTCTACTTAAAAAAAAAATATGTACATGTGAGGTGTGATTCAGAGATTCATGACAAATAACAGTGTTACAATGTCACTATTGATACATTTTAAAAATATATATTTTGAAACAGCAATTTCCTATTTGTACTTATAGCCCTATAACCTGCAAAAAAAGCAGAAAATCATGTATATACTGGGTGTTTTTAAACTCGGGATAACATTTTTAATCTATTTTGCAGTTTTTTTCATTAGCTTTTGTAGATAAGTAAAAGAGTTGTCAAGTAAAAGTAAAAAAAAAAAAACTTTTTTTTTTTTTTTAACCATATTTTATTATTTCTTTTAAAGTAAATTTTTGTCCTGAACAAAACAATATAGAACTTGTATGGGAACAGTAAATGAGAGAGAGGAAAATTACAGCTAAACACAAACACCACAAAAGTGTTAAAACAGCTCTTGTCCTTAACGTACAACATGGCCAAACAGTTCGGTCCTGAAGGGGTTAAGCTAAAGTTGGTGCTTAGAGTATCATTTTAAGTCTTCTCCTACAATGTGATATTTTAGAGTAATATGACCCATCCAGTTTAAAAAAACTGACTTACACTACAAATTATTGAGCTGTACTTTTTTATCCTTGGAATTATATATCCTCTAGACATATGAGATTTAAGAAGACTAATTTATTAATGGACTAGACAACTGAGAAAGTAATTTTTTAAAATATTTTCTTTGTGGTAATATTTTTCTCTGGCTGTGTATAACTATTACTATTTTGCAAGGGGTTATGTACAATGTCATCTAATTTCTGTTTCGAGAGGTTATACTATTGAGATCATTATATATTAGTTGTAATGTTTAATGGCAAATTGGGTTTGTATTTGTGATAGAGTAGTTGTAATTATTTTTTAATTACGTAATTCTTGATGTAATTCTTTTTGGAACAATATCCACAATACAATATCACAATACAGATATCCTAAGGCAATAAGTTATAACTGTTTTATTCATGTTGGCACTTACGTGGATTAGACAGTAACAAAAAGACCTCATCTAGGTAAATAGATGCTTCAAATAGGCAACCAAAGTTGGAATTTTCATGTAAGCAGCTTAAGCATGCTGCTTAGAGTCCCCAATGTATGTATTGGCTTCAAACTGTGCATGATTTGTGTTTCAAGTCTGTTACAATATTTCTTGGAAACAATGCATTTTTGTGAAAGGGGAAAACAAAAATAAATGTAAACTTTTGAATTGCATTCTGTTATATTAATTTAGAAAAAGCTATAATGAAGGTAAGTAAGCCACAAGAACAGGTGACAAGCATCAACAAATATGGTTAGTTTAAAGGGACACTATAGTCAACTGAACAACTACAGATTAATGTAGTTGTTCAGGTGAGATCTATAGCTCCCTGCAGGCAATCTAATGTAAACACTGTATTTTCAGAGAAAATATGCGCACAAGGGAGCAATGACGCTTCCGAACGGAAGCGTCTGATTGCTCCCTGGTTGCGCCCGCCTATTTCGTCATTTTTGACGAAATAGGGGACGCGGCTTCACGAGGCTCCCGGCGCTGGAACCAGGTGAGTAAAATCCTCTGCCTGGAGAGTCCCTTTAATTACATTGAGTATAATTATTGAAAAAAAATATTACACGCATTATAGCCAGTATACATTCATTTCTAACACTGCAACATATAAACCTATGACATATTCCTCTAGAAAGAGTATATTTAACTTGGCATCCCATGATCCTACTATAAGACAAGAATTGCAAAGAAAATTGTAAGAATTGTACAAAAAACCTACAAACAAAAAAGAAAACCGCAACAAACCCCCCACCCCCACTTAGTACACACCAGTAATATGACCAATATTCATGCAGGAGAAGTGGTAGGCAACATTCGGCACTCCAGGTGCTGTCGACTACATCTGCTTGATGCTTTGTCAGCACTAGAGCATCATGGGAAATGTAGCCCATAACACCTGGAGTGCCAAAGTTGGCCACCTCTGGAACAGAGGGTGACATAATACCAAAACTTTGCTAAACATGCCAATGCTTGAAGTCCTTTAGGGGATCTGCATTTAAGCCAACCAATCAGAGTGCTCTGACAGGTAAATGAAGAGACTGAGTGGTAAGTCTCTAAATTTACCTGTCACAACACTCTTATTGGTTGGATTGAAATCCAACCAATCAGAGTGCTCTGTGTCATTTTACACAGTGTGGGAAAGTTCTTTGGAATTTTCCCACACTGTGTAATTTAACTCCTAACTCTCTGGTTGATTGAAAACAACCAATCAGAGTGTTGTTATGAGTCAAATTACACAGCATGGGAAAATTCCAAAGAACTTTCCCACGCTGTGTAAAATGACACCTAGCTCTCTGAGTTAAACCAACCAATCAGAGCGATCTGAGCCTATTTGCAGGGCGTGGGAAGGCTTTATAAGCTTTTCCCCGCTCTGCGGAGCTCAGTCTGTGTGGTGCCCTCCATGGGTGAAGATGGATTATTTTTTTAGTGTATTTTTTCTTTTTTTTCGAAGTTCGACAGGTTTTATGGATTTTTATTTAGCCTTTTTTGGCTAAAAAAAAGATTTTAGAAAAAAGACATCAAATGGTAAGTTTTTTTTTTTTTTACAGGTAGTTCTCTTGTTCCCCCTTCACTATTTTTAGGGTGAGGGCAGTAGGTATTTTTTTTTGTGGTGGTAGACTAGGGGTTGGGGGACTCCTAGTAACCTGGTGCATGTAACATTTTCATTTAGGGCCCCCACCTGACGCACAGGGGTGGGGACCTGGGGGAGGACAGTAAGCCCCCCCCACATTTTAATTTAGGGCTCCCACCTGCCACTCAATAGGTCTGCCCCTATTGTTATTTAAGGCCCCCACATGCTGCCCAGGGGTGGGGGCCAGAGGGGGCAGACAGTAGGTCCCCTCACTCATTGTTATTTGGGCCCCCCACCTGCCATTCAGGGATGGGGTTTGAGGGGAGGACAATAGTCCCCCCCTCATTTTTATTTAGGGCCCCACCTGCCGCTCCTAGGTGGGGGCCAGGAGGGGGCAATAGGTCCCCCCTTAAGTTTAATAGTCCCTACTCGCAACCACTAGCTGCTCACTGTTTAGTAGACATGCCCCTACTGAATAGAGGCAGAATTTACTTATACCAAGAGCTCCCCGGGTCCTCTCCTGCCTCCCTCCATGCCTGTACCGGTCCATGGAGCTTAGAGCAGAGCCAGCGCTATGATAGCGCGGGCTCTGCATGAGCCGACAGAGGAGATCCTGAGATCTTCCCTGCCGGTCTCAATCCATAGGTGTGCCGTGGGGATTAGGGTGTGCCCAGGCACACCCGGCACAGGCCTATGGCAAAGACATGGACGATAACTGTATGGGTTGACATTAATCTTGTTAAACCAATAATATGGGCCCTGAGGCTTGGAAAGTATCTACTGGCTGGTGGTAATAACCGTAATTTACAGCTGATTTTTTAGCAACTGCTCAGGAAATGAGACCTTAGGAGCCATGTAATAACACTGTAGAAATACAGTAGAGTCTTGGCCAATATATAATCTTAATATATGACTTGTTCAATTATAATATTCAAGAATTTAGATATTATTTAGGATTCTATCTAGCCAGAACAATACATATATAATGTTTACTGAATGAAGGCTCACCTATTAAATTAAAAAGACTGTTTTCCTTGTCTTGAAAAACTGCCAAATGTATACAGTTGATGGGAAGTAAATCCCTGGACCAATTAGGGAAAGGGTTCATGACTACAGGCCAATGTCATTATATGTCAATCAAATATGTGGCATCTCCTGTGATTGGTAGTAGGGTCAATATTTTTCATATATTCTTATGGACTATTTAAGGGGTCAGCGGAGAGGGTAACCCTTTTTCCAACAGGGCAGCAGAGCAGGAAAATTCTCATTAAATCTCACTCACCTACTTCATAATTCCTACACTTCCTCTTCATCGTCATAAACCCCCTTTATTCATTAATGGACATAGTGATTTAGTGCTCTTATTTCTATTATTTTCACAGGTTTGACCAGCATTATGGAAAGTGAAGTGAGGCTGCCCTTTTGATGAAACAAGTCCTGGATTCAATTCAGAAGGTGATCTGGGCAAGACCTCATGGTATTAATGCTAGGGGAACTACCTGATGTCACAGGGAACAGTAGCTGGTAGAGATAACAAAATTATGTTACATGCTGATTGCTTCTTAATAAAATTTGTGGCCAATGCCCTTAGCCCACATCAAGTTGTCTATGTTTTATTGGGATGGCGAATTGGATGTGCATTAACAGTCAGTCAACAACTCATTCATCAATGGAAAGAATCTTCTCTACACATGCATGCCACTGTTGCAGGCTGATTTAAACTAAAGTGTTTAAAGATTTCACTACATTTAGGGAAGGAATAAAAGTGATCCCATATATTAGATTTGACATGGTAGTATGAGTGATATCACTCATATTGTTGACAGAATATTTTACAATTTACAAATAATGCATTATGAAATATATTCAAAAACAATAGATTCATTCATGATAATCATATATAGTAGTTCTCTTCTTATCTCATAAAATCCAGTGCAGAAGTGTTTTCTTTAAACATTATTTAAATTGTCAAATTTTTAATGTAGAATCACAAGAAACAAAAAAAAGTCATAGGATATACACCTGCATCTAACACAATCTCATACTTTGCACATTATATGTGTCCCTTTTCAGGAAACACAGATACGGTTCAAATACCAGCACTGAATTTTTACCATGACTTGATCTGTTGGGGCATACTTTGGGGCATTCTAGTCAGGTATGAGATAGGTACCCATATCTTGTGGACACCTCCTGCAGGCATTCTCTTGCTCTGATGTCTGAGATAGATTATGAGATATGTTTTCCCCATTGAGAAGGTGGCCATGATAGAATTAAATGTGTTGCCATTTCATTTATTTCCCCACATTAGCATACTGGATTCTGTTAGCAGAGAAAGGGTTTACTTTGCAATTCTTCCATTAACGTCTATGTGAAAAGTTTTATTCAACTATAGACTAACTCTAAAGGTCCCCATGCTTTTTCTGCCAAACAATGATCAATGGATAACAATGTGATAAAAATTAAATATGTATTATTATGATTTAGATGAGGTTCATATTGTTTTAGGTAACAAAAACACTTAAATGCAAATAATTTTGAAGACTTTACAAGCTGTTACTTTCCATTATATTAACCTGAAACTATTTTATGAATGCTCATCTAATTTCAAAATCAGTCGTTTATAGACATTAAAGAGGCACTATAGCTATCCAGACCACTTCAACTCATTGAAGTGATCTTGGTGATCTGGGTACAGTGTCCCTATTGCACTTAGTGCTAAAATGTAAAACGTAGTTTTAGACAAATTGCAATATATATATTTGTAACTTTCGTATAGCTGCCTCTTATGTATTCTTGATCCTGTACCACAGAAGAGCTGACCAGAAATTGCATGCCAGGCTGACCCTTGGCTGGCCTCTATTCTGGGCAGAACATGAGGGGAATGTTGTTTATGTGCTTTCCTAGTGCGTTCCTGTACTTCACTCAAGTAGATATGTTCTGTATTCTGAAATCTGCCCAGAACATCAGTTTAATCCCTTTAGGGGTTGCTAAAGCTCCTATGGCAAAATTGAATTATTTGCTGCTCTATAAAGCCCAGAAGTTGTTAAATAAGTTGGACATCCCATTCTAATGTAGGCTCTTTAAAACCTGTTATGATAGACTTTTTCTGTAATCGGCCTTTTGAGGAGTTAAATGGTGAGTGTCTCTTCAAACTTTATAGATCAGGGCCGGTGCAAGGATTCTTCCTGCCCTAGGCAACAATCCATTTTGCTGTCCCCTCATGAATGCAACTACATTCTCGCAGAGGTTTATTCACTAAATGCTGACTTGCAAAGAAGAGACATTTAGGGATGGAGATGCAATGGCTAGACATTAAAGAGGCACTATAGCCCTCCAGACCACTTCAGCTCATTGAAGTGATCTGGGTACAGTGTCCCTAGAGAAACTGGAATGTTTAGATTATAGCACTAAGTCTGACCCCAGTGGCTGTCTCTTAGACAGCCACTGGATGCACTTACTGGATTCTAACAGACTTTTGGTCTGGTGACTGACGTTCAACGTCCTCACGCTCGGCATGAGGACATCAAGCATTAGCTATTTTCCCATAGGAAACCATTGATACAATGTTTTCCTATGGGGAGGGCCTAATGCATGTGGCTCTCGCTGTGCATGCACATTTGCGCTACCTCGTCAGTAGCATTGAGGGGGCGGAGGCACAACCCAGTGCCATGGGACATTAGCGCATGTTGGTTATTAAATGTTTTTTAACCCTTTATTCACTGCAGTGGGAGAAGGCGCAAGGGATCGGGGAAGCAGAGGGAGCTTTATTGCCAGGAAAACAGCTATGTGTTCCTGGCACTATAGCACCCCTTTAAGTGAGAAATTTAGAGAACAGAAAATGCCTCAAAAGACATTTAGGGAAACGATAGAGAGACTGTTGAGATATTTAGGAAACAGAGACTGTGAGACTTTTTAGGAGAGAGACACAGTGAGCAGACATTTAGGTAAAGATATACAATGCCCACACTAAACACACTCATCCAGGATATGCATCCATATACACACATTGCCGAACACATCCATACTGCCTATTATATACACAATCAACCATACGCACACAGTCCAAAACATAAATCCACACATACTACCTAATAAATAAATTCATACACTCATACTGCCTAATACATATGTCCATACACTCATATTGCCTAATACACACAGTGTAACTTATACACTCGCTGACATACACTGTGTCACTTAAACATTTTCACTAACACACACACATACTCTCAGTGACATACACAGTGTCACTTATACACGCTCACTGCCTAATACCCAGTGTCACAGTCAGTAACGCACACTCACTGACATCCACAGTGTCACTTACACACTCAGTAACACACTCTCACTAAAATATACAGTGTCACTTGCACACTCTCACTAACACACACAGTCTCACTGACTTACACACAGTGTCACTTACACACTCAGTAACACACACTCACTGGCATGCACAGTGTCACTTACACAATCTCACTGACATAGACATTGTTACTTATATACTTACTGACATTCAGTGTCACTAACACACTCTCTCGGCCATACTCAAACAGTGTCACATACACACTTTTAGTAACAAACACTTTCACTGACATACACACTGTGTCACTTACACACTCCCACTAACATACACAGTGTCACTAACACAATCTCACTAACACACACACTCATTAACACACACACAGTGTCATTTACACACTCTCACTAACACAGTGCTACTTGCACACACACACTGTCACTCAAACACAAACTCACAACACTTCACATATAGCCACACTTTATTTACACACAAACATAGCAATTTAACACACACACACCTATTTACAATCATCTACAAATCAGTTTCCCTTACCTGCAGATGGGCCACACTTAAGTGCTGTGAATGAAGGAAAATGAAAAGAGGAGCAACACCCTACAGTCTACAGGAAGTGTTTTTGTTCCTGGTAGGAAGAGCAGGAGAGCCGTGCACTGTGAGCACAGGCTGCTTCATGCTCCCTTCAAAGTGTTTACAGACAGGGGGTAGCCGGGATACCAGGTCATGTCCAGGCTTCCCCTGCCTGCAAGAAGCAGAATGCTGTGTTTGGGTGCTGGGGATATAGCACATCCAGCTCCCCAAGCAGGTAATTTACAGCAGAGAGAGCCCAGAAGATGAATGTTTGCGCTGGGGGGTGGCTAAGGAGCCGCTCGCCCAGCACAGCATCCCCAGACAGCAGCAGTGCTGGCGCCCTAGGCGGATGCCTTATTCGCCTAATGGTAGCGCCGGCCCTGAACGTGTGTTACATGAAGCTACTTTTATGGCATAATAATTTGGCGGTTTCTGAGTTGTGCCTTAAAATAAATATTTGAATAAGAGGAGAGAAGTTGATGATTTTGTTGGTTAATTTTCCTACTACGTCAACTAATGATCTGAATAGCATTCTTGAATACTTTATTCCTCACTGTTTCTTCTGCACAGAAATGTAAACTACAGATATGTCATGTTTTTGTAAAGGTATTCACCCTCTGTAAATTCCTGTCATATAGTGCTTAGACCTTGATTTAATATTTCAGGTTTAACATTTAGAATATATATTTTTTCAAAATATTAAAATACCATAAATAGATAAAATCTAAAATGTATAAATACATAAAAAATATCAAATTATAAATTTGTATTTTCAAAATTTTAAATAATTTTAAAAGTTTATCCAAAAATATGAAATAATTTTAAAAGCTTATCCAAAAATATCAGAGCAAAACAGAGCAGTAGATATGTGATTTTATGTTACTAGAAGCAAGTTTAATTCTCTACAAAACTTTCTGAAACCTACACTCCCTATATGGCATGTATGAATGTCTATCATTGTTTCTATGCTGTCATACACTGTCCTTTACTCTACACTATGTTAAGAAAGCACCAAAACAATATTTCGATGGACAAAAATACACCACTACATGCAA